ATATAATAAAGCTCTTCGCTCATATTTATAAATATGTTTTTCTATGTTAGCTATGAGAGTCCAAACGGCTGGACCGAATGGGTTGAAATTTTTTCAGAGAACCCTTAAGTACCCCGGCCGGGAGTATCGAGGCAAAACAAATTTCGACATTTGTTTTCTTCAAAAATAAATTTTTTTTCAAACTGGCAACGCCGGGCACTTGAGCTAGTATATAATACAGAGTATTTACAGTGAACAGAATTATGCACTTTTTTATGTAAAAATATATAAGGATTGTGCCAATCACTTTTTTAAAAATCTATTTTTTTTCCTCAAAAATCTATGTTTTTAAATTCGAATGTCCAAATGTTTTCAGATTGTATGCTTAAGAATTCATAAGTATCCGATGAGACATTTACAATATTTTCGTTATATTTGTTTTAGGGGTTAAAATTCTTATCTTCATTTAGTGTACGCTTTTAATGTTTTAATTCTATCAAGCAGATTTAAATATTTCAATTAAAGGGACTGTTTTTGTAATTTAAAGTGAAACGGTGACCTTTAAGCCTTTATCTGAAAGCAATCCTTTTAACCAAGGTACTGCAAGGAAAGTTATTTCAGAGGTGTACGCATTTTTGTACTCTAGTGTACTGTCTTTGGGCGGAAAAGTAAACACAAGACGGATATCACAGCCTGACATGGAATCATATTTTCACAAAAAATAATCTAAGAAAATTCTGGTCAAAGGAAACTAATATGTGAATTTTCAAAATTATCAAAATTAAATGCTTTTAACCTCCTCGGATACTGAACGAACATTGATGCATCTGTTCTTGTTTACAAATTCCGCCCAGAGATAACTAGTTTCAATATGTACGCAGAGTATACGCGACCGCAATTAACTTTCCTTTCATTAGTACCTTGCNTTGAATGCCGCTTTCTCAGCTGCAGCTGAATGATGATTGAATAATAGACAAATAGGGAAAATGCAGGATTTCAAGATAATTTAACCACTGGGTTAAATATTTAACCTCATGGTTAAAGTTCAGTTTAAATTAAGTCAGAAGTGGCATTTAACCATGAACTTAAAATTTAAGTCAAAACTTTTCGTTCTTTAGTTTTAGACTCTGTATACCTCAATCAATGTTTTGGACGCTATGAACTCTTTGATCTTTATAATCAATATGTACGAATGTATAGTGTAAAGTGTTATGGTGTACATTATATTATGTTATTTTTTGTGTACATACTTATGTACACAAAAATAAATAAAATGTTCTTGCGTGCAAATTAAAGGTGTTTATAAATTTCAGAAAAAGAAGGTGGTAGGTTGGGGATTAAAGCAAGTTAATGTATATTGTACAGTGGGCATTAAAACAAGTTTATGTACATTGTACAGTGTGCAGCTAGTGTTGTTGCAGGCCCTAAAGTTGGACTACAGTATATGCAGTTATTAAAATGTTGATCTTGTAAAGTTGATTTGGAATTTCAGTGTAAGTATAAAGAAAAACCTTTATCAAATAATTTTTTTTGATTGAATACGAACTGAGCAACCTACGTTTTTTATTTCAAATATGTTTTAACACTCTATTCTTGCAACAAAATAAGTCTATGTGATATGCACAATGTGAAATGAGATTTATAATGTTGGATTTAACAATCACTACGCGTACATTATAAATGTGGAAGGGTGGAGGGGGGTGTTGGTGTTATAAATAGCGCACGAAAAGTCCATGTGCATGTGATAGGGAGG